CATCTTATTCGGTCAAATTTACAACTAAATGTATCTTTTCTGTTAAGAACAATATAGTGTCTCGTTTTCTGACAACTCCCAATGTATCTTTTCTGAAATTTTGCCGAAAATAGACTATAGGCTAAATTTTTCTCGGGACTATTATACAACATATTATGTTTATTCATATTAAACCTTATTTAGTCCATCAATCATAGGAATAACCACTAAAGTAACCTAAACTCTCTCTCTCTCTCTCTCTCTCTCTCTCTCTCTCTCTCTCGAGTAAGTAAGATTGTTGATTAATTATTATCTATTCTCTCAGTCTCAAGATGAAAATTAATTCATTTGGTTCCTAAGATTCTAGTTTCCTCGCATGATTCTATCAACATCTCGATCTATTTAGTCACATATATTATCAATTTTCAAATATAGCAATCGACTATCTCTTTTTGGTCTCAAGTTAATCACAAGTATGAATAAATATGAATCTTATATTAAAATAATTAATATAAGCACAAAAAATCAACAAATCTATATATAATAAGAATAACCATTAACTAAAAATAGTAGTAAAATATATTGGGACCATTTAATGCATATATCTTTTTGGAAACTTTGTAAATAAGTGCATTAATTGCTTCCATATACACGTTTTCAAATAGGATCAAATCAGATATGATCAATAATATTGTTTCCTCAAATAATTTTAACAATATCTGCAATAATTTCATTGATATCCGTGATCATAAATTACAAGATTGATTTTCCGTGATTCATGTTGATAATATTTTGGTTAAGATAAATATTACAACATATTTTAAGTTCTAACCATAATATTAATTTTTTTCACAAATATTCACTTTTTTATACAAAATATTTATTGAAAATCATAACAGGTTAGGCAGAATTTATTCTTCCTATTAATAAGGCGAAATAAACGTGTGGATCCTCAAACCACCTCCGAGAAAGGGCGGAACACGGAGTCCCACTTCACCCAGTGATGTTGTCTCCCCCACCTGGAACCCTTTCCATGTCCCAAAAAATAACGGGTCATGATCTGATCCGTAGAGTCGACTGAGGGGGTCCAAGACCATAAGAAGATGAATCTAAAGGGCGCTGAGGGTACTTTTAATAAGTGCAATCCTACCCCCAAAAGAAAGGTGTCTATGAGACCAACCAGAGATCTGGTCGATCATCCTCTGCCTAACATCTTCAAAGAGCTCTCTCGTGAGATGACCCTTGTACAGAGGAGCGCAACGGTAGGTAATGGGTAGGTCGCCAAGAGCGAAACCAGTCCGCTGATGGATCCAATAAGCCCACATATTCGCGATGTTGGGGGAGAGAATGAAGCTACGCTTTTGCGCACTGCCAACCTGACCGGAGACAGAGCTATAATGCTATATTGTGACCTTTTTAGCCCATTTAGGGTCTTTTTTTATATATATACATGTTGGGGGTCCAGTCTAAACCCCCACCCTCATGGGTGTTGGTTTAAAAAAAAAAAACTATCATCATCTGCACGTGATATCGTCCGCATAAGAAAGGTGAGAGATGGAAAGACCGTAGCCACGAGTGTTGTAGGTCCTCCTCGGGTTATCTCAGATGAAGCCGTCAAGGTAGAGAGAGAGAGAGAGATAGTCTGCCACCAGAAGAAAAATAGATGGGGAGAAGGGGTCCCCCTGACGAAGGCCCCTTGAAAAAGCGAAGAAATCGATGGGGCTACCATTAATCAAACTGAGAACGTGCAGTGCTCGACGCAAGCCTCTACAAAACTGATCCACCACTCAGGAAAACCCATCCGGACCAGAGTCTCTCTAAGGAAATTCTACTCGACCCTATCATACGCCACTAGAACTCTATTTTTTTTTTAGTGTTGCCATGTTTAGCTTCAGCGCAAGGTTCCGGGCTCGCGACCTATCCGCATGGGAGATGTCGTGAATCATCTCCTGAGCGAGAAGGATATTGTCACTAATGACACGTTTCTTGATTAACCCACTTTGGTTCGACGAGATGAGAGAGGGAATGAGGGGGGAAAGACGCCCACTAAGAATCTTGGAGATGAGCTTGTTGGTCACATTACAAAGGCTAATAGGTCTGTAATCAGACCAAGAGCTCGACCATGGTTTTTTAGGGATCAAAATGACCGAAGTGGCAGTGAAGGACTCTGGAATTTGGTGCCCAGAAAAAAGCTACAAAACAGCCTCCTCAATATCAGACTTAACAACCTCCCTGCAGGCCTAATAGAAGAGAGACAAGAAGCCATCCGGGCTAGCGACACTGTTGAGATCAATCCCAAAATCAGGTTTACCGACTGAGGGATGGTAAGGAAGAGATAAGCATTGGGGGGCACAAACAAGTCCATGCCCGAGGTGAAAAGAGCTTGAAAGTGCGCCACGACCGACTCCTGTATTTAGGACTCCTGATTCAGGGATGAACCATTGTCCTCGATACAATGGATATACGACGATTGACCTGACTCGCTTCTATCTCACGAACACTTATATGTTTGTATAAGTTGCACTACAAGAAAATGATGAAATTCCAGTGGAAATTTATTCCAATAGAATTATTCCAACGGATATTTCAATACTATTATTTCCGTTGGAATTTTTCAATGGATTCCAACAGAAATTCCAACAAAAATATTTCGTTGGAATGAAGTTTCCATTGGAATTTCCGTTGGATTTTGACGATTCCAACGATGGATTTTCCAACGGGGTGGAAATAAAAATTCCAACTGAATTTACATATTCCAACAGAAATTCCTACGGTAAAAAGCCGTTGGAAATAGAGCCGTTGGAATAATCAAATACCATCTAAAATTCCAATGAAAAACACATTCCAACGGAATATTTCCGTTGGAATTTCTGTTGGAACCATTCCAACGAAAGTTATACCATTGGAATATCCGTTGGAATTTCCATTAAATTATATTGTCATATGATTTTTCGTTGAAATAGAACAATTAGTTTGTAATGTTGTAGACTCATTAATGCTACTTCTTTCCTACGTATTCGGTCATTTAAGCATTTGCCCATATATAGTAGGTGCCGTACACAAGCATTTGCCCATATTAGGTGCCATACACACTAACTTATTGTACATTGTAATTAAGAAATGCTCGCTAGACACTCAAAATCACCCATTACAATTCGAGCCCCCACAAAATTTGTGAATCTATATTACTTTAGCTTTGAGTTATTCAATTGTACTATTGTAGGCAGGGGTGAGAATGAGTCGGTACAGTTCGGAGATTGATAAATCTCCAAAACCGTACCAAACTTTGGAAATCCCAAAATTTGATCTCCGGAACCGTACCAAAAATTTGGTTCGATTCGGTTCGGTATTCGGGACTATTGGGACGGTTCGGTTCGGTATGGTTTTGTTCGAATCTTCGGAGATTTTTATTCATCATATTGAAAATTTTATTTTGAAATCAATTCTAGAAATAACTCTAAATTTTAGTTATTTAATTTTTATATACTTTAATAAAACCAACATTTATCAGTACTTCATCACATTAAAGATTTTATTTTGAAATCAACTTTATAAGTAACTTTAAATTTTAGTTATAACTAAATTTGTGCAACTAATATTGAAAATTAAAATTCAAACAAAATATAATATTTTTTCTTAAAAAAGTATTTTTTAAATTTTTATATTATTTTAATTAAATATTTTATAATAAAAAAAAAATCAATTGTAGATCAAGTATTACTAAGAATGAAATTTAAGTGAAGGTTAATATTTATTACTATATTATATAGAATCAAAGTTGACATAAAATATATTAGTAACACATTTAATGTTATAATTCGGTTCTTCGGTTCGGTATAACACGAGACAGTTCGGTTCGGTTCTCGGTACGGGTATTTGTGAAATCTCCAGAACCGTACCAATTATTTTTTCGGTTCGGTTTCGGTTCGGAGAAAGTCAACCGGTCAACAGTTATATTTCGGTTCGGAGTGATTTTGATTTGATTTTCGAAATGATTCAAAATTCTCCGAGTCCCATGCTCAGTCTAGTAGACAAACGTCAGTTTTCAAAACATTCATACATTCAAGTACCCTCCTAGCCTACCAATAGAAAATTACAAAACAAAAATTATGAGTTAGGATCAGCATTTTGGCGAGTTCTAACTTTGTCATATTTTTTTACAAAAATATAGACTTAGACAATAAAATATTATGCTGTTATGTATTTAATATAATACAGCATTTTGGCGAGTCATATTTTTTAACAGCTAGCTGTCATGCTTTTATAATTAAACAGACTTACACAATAAAATATTAATAATTAATAATTTAGGTTCGGATATTCCATAAATGTTATTTAGCTAACTTAGGTATTTTAATATCACTTGTATTAATATAACTCTTTAATTTTTTGTAATTTTATACAGTAAGAGACTAAATAACTAATATATCCCTGACTTTTGATTTATTTCCTTCAATTAGCTATTGAATTGTAAATGCAGTATTTTTAAAGTATTGATAAATTTTGTATTTATTATCGGTTTTGCATATATAATATATCAAAATAATCATCTGATGATCTTCACTTGACATCCATATTGTATATATGAAATAAATATATTATATTTATCTTTATAATAATAAAAAAATAATATTTATTAAAATTCATTAGAAAAATAAAATTATTTCTCAATTCATATATTTATGTTTAATGTACGTAGTTATATGTTGTAAGTTAAAAAATTATTATAATATAACACAGGTAAGTCGCATAAATAAAAAGTGTCATACTAAATATATAATAATATATATATATATATATATATTTATAAAAGATATTTAAATTTTTAACTATTTTTTCTCATTAATTTTAGATTTTAAAGAAAAATTAGCAACCACCCGTGTAATACTGTACTAAGTATAACATAATGCAGCATTTTGGCGAGTCTGACTTTGTCATATTTTGTTAACAAAAATATACACTTGCACAATAAAATATTATCCCATCTCATAAAAGGAATTGAATCTATTCACGTAACCAAAATGCTACCAAACCCTAAAGCCTATACAAGAGTCCAGAAACAAAAAGAAAAAAAATAAAATTGCTATATATATATCAACTATACAAGCTCTCACTTTCCAAATACATCTACACATTCTTTGAAAAGCCTACCAACAATATCCATCAAACCCCAAAAGACCATAGAATTTTCACCGCCCAAAAAAAAAAAATAAAAA